TATCTAAACCCTAAACCCTAAACAGTTATCTAAACTCTAAACCCTAATCTAAACCCTAAACCCTAATCTAAACCCTAAACCCTAACGTAAACCCTAAACCCTAATATGAACTATAAACCCTAAATCCCAATATACTAGACCCTAACATATACCCTAAACCCTAAACCCTAAACCCTAACCTAAACCCTAAACCCTAGATTAAACCCTGGACTGTAGCCTAAACCCTAAACCCTAAACCCTAAACCCTGTAGTTTGTTTATTGCGAGGAGAGTCTGTTGACTTGTTGGGTGGGGTGTATAGCGTTGCTGCCTCATGTTTTTCGTTTGTTGCTGCTGTTGCTGCTGCTGCTGTGCTGCTGCTGCTGTGCTGCTGCTGCTGCTGCTGTGCTGCTGCTGTGCTGCTGCTGTGCTGCTGCTGCTGCTGCTGTGCTGCTGCTGTGCTGCTGCTGTGCTGCTGCTGCTGTGCTGCTGCTGCTGCTGCTGCTGTGCTGCTGCTGCTGCAGCTGGCAGATTGTCTGTCTCTGACTCCTGCTGCAGTTGTTGGTTATATTCAGCAGCAGCGCCTCTACCTGTAGTTCTCTGTCTCCTTTTTCTTTTTCTTTTTTTTTTCTTTTTCTTTTTCTTTTGTCTCCTTTTTGTCTTTCTCTTCTTTTTTGTCTCCTTTCTCTGTCTCCTCTTCTGCGGTGTATAGGCAGCTGTGCCTGTCTCAGGCGGCTGCAGCATTGCTGCTGCTGCTTTTGCTGCTGCTCTGGCTGCAGCAGCAGCAGCTGCTGCTGCTGCAGCAGAACCTGCCGCCACTACCCCCAGACCCAACAGCAGCAACAGCAGCTGCAACAGCAACAGCAGCAGCAACAGAAACAGCAACAGCAACAGCAGCAGCAACAGCAGCAACAGCAACAGCAACAGCAGCAACAGCAGCAACAGCAGCAACAGCAACGGCAACAGCAGCAGCAGCTTTGCTTTTTTCTATCTAGTTTCGTTTTTGTTGCTGCAGTCCTTATTCTTATTACTGGTGTCTATACAATTACTTTGTGCTGCCGCTGCTGCTGCTGCGCTGCTGCAGCTGTTGCTGCTGCAGCTGTTGCTGCTGCTGCTGCTGCTGCTGCTGCTGCTGCTGCAGCAAGCGGTGCAAATAAAAGACAAAAAGATTCAGTTGCTGCGGCCCGTCTATAAGGCCGATATATAAATATATAAATATAAAT